CTAATCAAAATGGTACTTACTTGCGCTTATTCGGATTGTTCAAACGGACTTAAAACCGGATGCCGTGCGCGCGCGCCTAAAGACAGTTGGACATAGTGGTGTATTAGAGGTAAAACATTACATAAATACTGTTCGGTTTCTGGCACAAACCGATCGTTTCGTGTCTTAGGACATCAATGTGTCGTCACGAGCCGCAGGGTTTAATTTGGATTTGTCTGTGCATGTTTTTTTACTCTCATAGATTTTGTTACCATTGCCATGCATTATACGACTGATAGACTGCAACGGTTAAAGTTAAAAATCATCATATGTGTTCTACTGAAGAAACAAAGTCACCTACATCTTGGATGCCCTGGGGGTAAACAGATAAACATCAAATTTTCATTTTTGGGTGAACACCTTTAAGCCTTTAAGCAGTAATTGAATCTTCCTTCCTGTTATTAAAAACTTTTCTCCCATTGCCTACTTGTTGCTTCATGCTATACAGATATCTGCCCTTTCTTTCACAGTTCCGCACTTGTGCATCTATCTCTGTGTGTTTCACAGCTCGCTTATCAACCATTTCATTAGCCTCCACTCCTATATGAGCAGGAGCCCACAAAAACATTCAGCTTGCATTACTTAATCTTAAAAAAAAATTGCAATAATCTCATATGTAATGTCTTGCCTTAACGATTTTAATCCACTTGCAAGGCTTGATAGTGCTGCAGAAGAGTCAGTACATATTACATCTGCTCTTGTTTTACATCTTCTCCTCCACTGGAGTGCTAACATCATGCCAGTTCATTCTGCTGCACACACAGATATGTGTTCATTTATTCTTCAGTAATACTATTTTGTAACTTTGGAATATATTCTGCAGCAGCTGTTCATCCATAAATTAGATCTTTAGATCTATCAGTGTTTATTATATGTAGCCATGATAAATAGACCTGATCTAAATACTGCTGTACAATAATATTCAATTGTAAGTCATCTATAGGCATTGGAAATATCCACAGGGAAATATTAGATCACAGGAGGACTAACGTTTGCACATTTACTCCTAACAGCCTTTCCTCACACAGAGTTGAAAGCCATTTCTCATTTCAGGTGTTACTCTGTGGAATAAGAAATCCTTAAATGAAGATTTGAACACTCGTTCACAGCCTCTGAGAGATTTGAAGTTCAGTAGCTCTGACTCTCTCTAGTAAGTCCAGTCTCCTGGATGTAAGTGCTTCCCTGAAAGCCAGCTTCATGGCAGGGCTGGTGGAATTGAGAGGATCTGTCTAGTATCTGTGCGACACCAAATCATCACTCAAGCCAGCAGTCCAGAGTAACAGCTTACTATGACCGAGCTGGGCCAGATCACCTATACCCTCAGATGTTTGAGCAGAAAACTGCAACACATGTGTTCACAGCTGTAGGCTACACTGTAAAAAAAAATCCGTAAAATTTATGGTAAAAAACAGGCAGCTGTGGTTGCCAGAATTTTATCGTAAAAAATGCGGTAGCAACATTTTTTTTACGGTTTTAACTTAAATTTACAGATAAGTAGGTGTGGCATTTAGTATCCCAGAATTTAATGTGAAAGTCAGTAAAAGAATCACAGATAATTTGTCAATTTACACAAATGGTGAAATGATTGCAATTGTACTGGCATTGCAATGGGTGGAGGAACATAAGCCAATGCGGACACTCATATGTTCTGATTCAAGTTCATCTTTAATTACAATTAAAACATGTCATTCAGAGCGCAGAGCAGATATAATGATTGAGATTCTTCAAACAATATATAGGATCCAGATGATCGGAATTTCTGTAGCTTTCTGTTGGGTACCAGCGCATATGGGAGTAAAAGGAAATTAGTTAGCAGACGAGTATGCAAAGGAAGCAACAAAGAAAGTAGACATAGATATGCAGATAAAGTATGGTAAGAGTGAAATGAAGTGTGTAATCAAGCAACATGGGAAGAATAGATGGAAGAAATATTGGGAAGAAGACAGAACAGGGAGATGGTTTTATAGCATTCAAAGAATTGTTGGTAAGTACAGAGTAACAGGAAGAAATAGAC